ATGAAGGCACCTGTCAAACACTTCATGTGCATTTTCTCACTTACTCCTGCAACTGTTGTTATCCCCATTCTGTAGATGAGGAAATTGAGGCCCAGGAAAGATTAAGGGAGACCCAGGGAGGACCAGGGCCACACTGAATAAATGATGGAATGAGATTTTTAAACTCAAAGCCTATGGCTTTCACTGCTATGCTAATAATATAGTGTAAGTGTAGATTCTCTCCTAGGGCAAACTTGCAGGGGGAACTTCAGCTCGGGAAAAATATAGAGGATTTACCTCTTCATGTTTCTTCTCAAAACTACTTTCAGAAACTACCCTCAGTGGGCCAGTCAGACTCCAATTGCTTAAATAAAACAGGCCAGGAGTTCTTGAATATATTTAAGGAAGTTAAGGAAAATTAAGTATTATTTTTAAAAGATATGTTTTTATTTTAACACTAATATAACCAATTCTGAAAAATTGAAGTTCCTGGAAAGATCATCTGCATCTCATACTCTTGCCAATTACTTTAAACATTTTTGTGTTTCTCTTTTTAGTATTTTTTGAATTCTAATTTTTAATTAGATTTGATCATAGTGTCTCTAAAGTGTTGTCTCCTATTTTTTTATCTAGCAAGCAAGCAGTTGATCTTTTTTATTTTTATTTTTATTGGAGTATAGTAGACATGCAATGTTATGTTAGTTTCAGGTGCACAACAATGATTTGACAATTATATACATTACAAAGTACTCACCACAATAAGTGTAGTTACCATCTGTCACCATACAAAGTTATTACAATATTATTGACTATATTTCCCATACTGTACTTTTCATCCCTATGATCTTATAACTGGAAGTTTGTACTTCTTGATCCCCTTCACCTATTTTGCCTAACTCCTACATCCCTTCCCTCTGACACCCACCAGTTTGTTTTCTGTATTAATGAGTCTGTTTTTGGTTTGTTTGTTTGTTTTTTTTAGATTCTACATATAATATTCCACATATAAAGCATATGGTATTTGTCTTTTCTGTCTGATTTATTTCACTTAGCATAATACCCTCTAGGTCTATCCATATTGTTGCAAATGGCAAAATTTCATTCTTTTTTATGGCTGAGTAATATTCCATTCTATCTATCTATCTATCTATCTATCTATCTATCTATCTATCCATCCATCCATCCATCCATCCATCCATCCATCCATCCATTCATCCATCTATCCATCCCACATCTTATTTATGCGTTCGCTTATTGATGGACATTTGTGTTGCTTCTGTACCTTGGCTATTATAAATAATGCTGCAGTAAACATAGGGGTGCATATATCTTTTCAAATTAGTGTTTTGTTTTCTTTGGGTAAACACCTAGTAGTGGAATCACTGGATTGTATGGTGTTTCTGTTTTTAATTTTTTAAAAAGATTTATTTATTATTTATTTGAAAGAGAGAGAGTGCACACAGGGGGAGGGGCAGAGGGAGAGAAAAACTCAAGCAGACTCTGCACAGAGCACGAAGCCCAGTGCGGGGCTTGATTACAGGACCCTGAGATCACTACCTGAGCCAAAACCAAGAGTCAGACACATAACTAACTGCACCACCCAGGCGCCCCTCTTTTTAATTTTTTGAGGAACCTCCATACTGTTTTCCATAGTGGTTGCACCAATTAAGTTTCCCACCAACAGTGCATGAGGGTTTCCTTTTCCCTACATTCTTGCCAATGCCTGTTATTTCTTGACTTTTTGATACTATTCTGGCTAGTGTGAGGTAATATCTCGTGGTGGTTTTGATTTGCATTTCCCTAATGATTAGTGACATTGAACATCTTTTCATGCATCTGTTGGCTATCTAAATCTTCTTTGGAAAAATGCCTGTCCTGGTCCTCTGACCTTTTAGAAATCAGATTATTATTATTATTCTTTTTTTAGTATTGAGTTGTAGGAGTTCTTTATAAATTTTGGACATTAACTCCTTATTGAATATATCATTTGCAAATATTTTTTCCCTTTTGGTAGATAGCCCTTTTGTTTTGTTGATGGTTTCCTTTGTTGTGCAAAAGCTTTTTAGTTTAGTCCCAGTTGTTTATTTTTGCTTTTGTTTCTCTTGCTTGAGGAAACAGATCCAGAAAAATATTGTTAAGGCTGATGTCCAAGAGATTACTGCCTACATTTTCTTTTAAAAGTTTTATGGTCTCAGAGTGCCTGGGTGGCTTAGTCGTTAAATGTCTGCCTTCGGCTCAGGTCATGATCCTGGAGTCCCAGGATTGAGTTCCACATTGGGCTCCCTGCTTGGCAGAGAATCTGCTTCTCACTCTGACCCTCCCTACTCTCATGCTCTCTTTCTCAAATAAATAAATAAATCTTTAAAAAAAAAAAGTTTTATGGTCTCAGGTCTTAGATTTAGGTATTTAATCTATTTTGAGTTTATTTTTGTGTGTAGTGTAAGTTGTCCAGTTTCATTCTTTTGCATGTAGCTCTCTAGGTTTCCCAGTACCATTTACTGAAGAGACTTTTTTTCCATTGTATATTTTTGCCTCCTTTCTCATAGATTAATTGACCATATAAGCATGGGTTTATTTCTGGTCACTCTATTCTGTTCCATTGATCAATGTGTCTGTTTTTATGCCAGTACCCATACTGTTTTGATTACTGTACCTTTGTAGTATAGTTTGAAATCAGGGAGTGTGATGCCTTCAGCTTCGTTCTTCTTTCCCAAGATTGCTTTAGCTATTCGGGGTCTTTTATAGTTCTATACAAATTAGGATAATTCATTCCAGTTCTTTGACAAATATTAATAGTATTTTGGTAGGGATTGAATTGAATCTGTAGATTGCTATGAGTAGTATGGACCTTTGAATAATATTAATTCTTCCAATCCATGAGCATGGTATATCTTTCTATTTATTTGTGTAGTCTTCAGTGTCTTTCATCAGTGTCTTATAGTTTTCAGAGTTTTGGTCTTTTACCTCCTTGGTTAAACTTATTCCTAGGTATTTTTTTTCTCTTTTGATGCAATTGTAAATGGGATTGTTTTCTTAATATTTATTTCTGCTAGTTCATTATTAATGTATAGAAATACAACAGGTTTCTGTATATTAATGTTATATTCTGCAACTTTACTGAATTCATTTATTCTAACAGATTTTTGGTGGAGCCTTTAGGGTTTTCTATATGCAGTATCATGTCATCTACTAATAATGACAGTTTTACTTCCTCTTACCAATTTGGATGCCTTTTATTTCTTTCGTGTGATTGCTGTGGCTAGGACTTCCAGTACTATGTTGAATAAAAGTGGCAAGAGTAGACATCCTTGTCTTGTTCCTGATCTTAGAGGAAAAGCTTTCAGCTTTTCACCATTGAGTATGATGTTAGCTGTGGGTTTTTCATATATGGCCTTTATTCTCTTGGGGTATGTTCCCTCTATACACACTTTGTTGAGAGTTTTTTATCATGAATGGATGTTGAATTTTGTCAAATACTTTTTCTGCATCTAAAAATAAAATTTTTGATGACAAAAACCTACTAGAACTTTCATTTCCATAAGAATCAATAATTAATTTTTGTTACTCCAGTTTTTAAAAGGGGTCTAGATAAAATGTACCAAATGCTCAGGGAGGGGGGTGGTCTAGAGGGAAAGGCAGAGGTACAAACAGTAATATTATAAGAAGAGGGGAATATACACTGTACAGTGGAAGTTGGAGGAAAGGAAGTGATGGTTGCACCTTGGGGAAATAGTTCACCAACAAGGTGAAATTTGAACTAAATATTTTAGGATGGATATGACTTGGCAGAGGTTGGGGGAAAGGATTCCTATAAAAGGTAAAGCGTGTACAAAGTCAGAGAGGTGGCAAAGACTTTGATGTGTTTGGGTGTGGGCAGTTGGAATTCAGAAGACTGGAGGGGTTGATAGCAAGGAGGCTGGGCAGGCGGGCAGCAGCTAGAAGGTATAGGCCTAGACTGCTATGTGGAAGGGGTTAGAATAGACCCATTAAAAACCACTGGGTAATTTTGAGCAGCAGAGATCTTGTATCTCATTTGCATTGCAAACAGTTTCCTCTGATGCCAGTGTGCAGGGTAGAATCTGTCTGCAAATGACAAGGGTCCTGAAGGGGATGTGTTAGGATGATATGGGTGGTATAAAGAATTAATCTGAAACAGGTGCTATGTTATATGGTAAATTTACATCTTTAGTGTACAAATTACAAGAATGTCTGATGTACCAGCAACTTTTAGAGGTATGTGACATTTCTCCTGGGCAACATCAAGGGAAATGTCTAGTGCCTGGCCAAGGAGTGGGGGCAGCAAATGTCACTCTAATTCCCAGTGTTCATAAAGTGTGTGACTCCCTCACCCTGACTCCACCCCATCTGGGACCATGTCCTCTGAGACACTGTAAGATTCTAGCACGAGTGTGAATCAGAGGGGAACTTATCACAGATACAGAGTTCTGGGCACCATTCCTGGGATTCTGATCTGAGCTGGGGCCCAGGAATCTACATTTTAGCTGGTACTGGAGTTGAATCTGTTAGATGCATGTTCTTACATCTAAGTGTTATAATTTCTGGGGCCGCTTGTTTGCAGTGTAGTGGTATTAAGCATTATTTAGGCATAAGCTGGTGGGTTTCAGATGAGGTCTTTGGTTAGTAGCCTGGCCAATGTGAGCCTTATTACGGTTTATTTTCACTGTTTTGCATCTGTGGCTTGTTCTTACATTATAACTAGATGAACTGTTACCAGGATCATTTCAGCACTACCTCTCCTCTCTGGTCTTTTTTATAACAATATACCAGAGCTCATGATAAAATCTATGGGAGTAAAGTAATATCTTCATGTGAGGTAAATCCTTTTTTTTTTTTCCTTCAAAAGTGACTATTTATGGTCTTAAAGAGTTTATGTGCTGAGTTCATTCACTTGAACAAGTACAGCCAAGATCAAATATAGGGTTGAAATGTTTGTTTGTTAACCATACAGTGAAATTTAAATAAAACATTGCTTTTCTCTTTTTAAAATTTACTCTGCTTAGAATTATTTTGGTGGAAAACTTTCTGCTCAAGGGAAAATGCCTTGGATTGAATATAATCATGAAAAAGTTTCTGGCACAGAATTCATAATTGACTTTCTGGAAGAGAAACTTGGAGTGAATTTAAACAAAAACCTTGGCCCTCACGAAAGAGCCATCTCCAGAGCAGTGACCAAGATGGTGGAGGAGCACTTCTACTGGTGAGTCCCCTGGGTGTGCTGGGTGAGTGCCCAGGGCCTGTCCCTGGCCTTTGGACTAAGCCCAAGTTCTGTTTCACTTTTCAGACACTCCCCAACCTCTTCAAAGTTTTCTGCATTCTGACTGATTTAGGGGTCAAAGTTATGACCATTAAGTTTCTAGGTATCTAGACCAAGAGTAGACCTTTTTTATAGAGGCCCAGCTAGCACATATTTTAGGCTTTGTTTTAGGCCATGGCTCTGCTTTCGCTCCTTAAACTCTGCCATTGTCATGCAAAAGCAGCATGGATGAATGACACGGAAATGATGAGCAGGACTCTTTCAACGAAACAATAAAAACACTGACATTTGAATTTCATTTAATACAAAATGTATTCTTCTGACTTTTTCCCCCAACCATTAAAAATGTATTTAAAAAATTTTTTTTAACTTTTTAATTTTTATTATTTATTATTTATTTTAGAGAAAGAGAGAGAGAGAGAGAGAGAGAGAGCAAGTGGGTCGGGGGAGGGGCAGAGGGAGAGAGAGAGAGAATCTCAAGCAGGCTCCACTCAGAGCTCCATCTCATGACCCTGAGATCATGACCTGAGCTGAAAACAAGAGTTGGACACTTAACTGAGCCACCCAGGCCCCCCTCCAACCATTTAAAAATATAGAAACTTCTTAGTCTTTGGGCTGTGTTTTGCTGACCCCTGATCTAGACTGCAGCTCACTGAGGTGAGGAAGATATTTCAACTGACTCTGCCCTTTACCTGCACAAATTGCGGAAGTAAAATACTATTACATCAGACACCTAGAGGAGGGAACAGAAGACTAAGTCAGGATAGAAGTCTTAGGTGAAATGAATTATTCAAGCTTTGTAAAATTATCGTCAGTTTTCCTTAGACGACAAGAGCTTCTCCGTGTTCCAGAAGTCAAGTGTACTAGTGCTTTCTGAGTATCTTTGTCCCGCCTGGCTGACTCCTAGGTTATGTCCCTTGTCTGAACCATCATGCGCTGTGTGGAGGAGTTGCCCGTGTTCTGCGTGTGGTATGGTGTTGGCTAGGACCTGTGAGTTAAACAGCTACAGGTCTTCTTGGTTTACAAACTCATTGTCATGTGGGCTTTTTCTTTGCCTTTCATCCATTTTCTGGAGTTTTAGCACCTTTTTGGACACCCCAGTAGGTAAGAGAAATTTTCTTCCTGATTTCTCTAAACTTTTCTTATTCCAGAGATTTAATTAAGAATTGTTAAGCCCACTTTTTGGACATTCATTGTGACTCCTGGGTCATTGCTCACCCAGTAGCTTTCACCTCCCCCACTGAGAGATACCCACTCAGTGAAGGGTTGATTGTAGAAGGTTCTTCCCCATCACCTTCCGATCTCATCAGTCGGCTTTCTTTCTAAATGGAAACTTGCTTGTTCTTTCTAAACAGAAAACTTGCTGTTCCCTCTCTTGGATTTTAAGTGACTCTCTATTTCTCTTTCTGCTTGCAGTTCTTGCCCAGTTTATTCCAGGGCAGACCTGAAGTGCCGCTTCTCTTCCCCCTCTCACTGTAGAGGTGAGGGGGTGGGGGGTGGGAGCAAGGAGGGAACCCGGCAGAGAGTGGAGGCAGGGGTGCAGATTAGCCTGGAAGTCATCACAGACTCCGTGTTCCTGGAATGAACCTGGTCTTTTCTTGAGGATACCTGTGGAGAACTGCTGGGACTCCCGTCTTCTAGAGTGCAGGGGTTAGAGTGTGGGCCAGACGGATGGCTGCATGTGATGTCCTGAGCCTCAGGGAAAAGTCCATGGGACAGAGCCCATCTTCCCTCTTGCCAGGTTCCAGTCCCCACTTTGCAGCAATTGAGGGAAATGAAGAACCAGCACAGGGCCACCCGGACCCTCCCTCTGTGCCTTCTTTGGATGCAGTCCTCCAAAGTGCTACCTTGTTTGACTGATGGGCCCATTAATGCGGAGAGCTCTTGCTTTGTGAGCTAACTGAAAAGACGCTGAAAGTCACCTTTCATTTTCGTTAGTACTTGTGCTACAACTCTTTGATTTTTATAGTGGTTCATGAAATGTATATTCTAGTCAGAAAGACTTTGATCCAGCAAGACTCCCAAGAACCACTTGTCCCTGCTTTTGGCTCTGGGTGTGCAGACGTTCTAGTTCTATATATTTACTCCCTGGTAGAAGTTCATCTTCTGCTCTTCCCCTCCCCTTCTCTCCCTGCACCAGCCCCAGCTAATACTTGATGGGAGGCAGCTATTGGTGGGGGAGGGAAGGGTGGGAGGGGTGAGTGGGAGAGTTGGGAGGTGGTACCCTGCTAGGGAAGAATCTTAATTTTATGGACCATAAAAACCCAAGTGCTTGGGGGAGTTGCTTAGGTCACACAGCGACTCTTTTAAGGATAATTTTGTTTCTCTAATCAACTTTTTGATTACAAAATACATTTTCAGAGGGGGGCAGTTAGCTACTATTTCTCATGTGTTTCTCCTCAAAGGTTAATTTGAGAAAGAAATAGTGAAGGTGGGAGGTCAGATCTTGACAGAGATATAAATGGCCAGTGAACTTTCAAAAAAATTCCTAATTCCTTCAATTCCCTTTGGTTCCTAGCAGCAAAAGGAAAGCAAGCCTTCCTCTGTTTCATAAGGTTTCCTAACCTTTAGCTATGTTCTTGCTTTGGAGAGACCTTGAACAGGCTTTCCCTAGAGCTCTAAATCCCAAAGGAGAAAAGACGCCTGTCCCTCCAGTAAGAAAATGTCTGAGAAGGAGAGTATGTGGACACTCTTCATCAGGTTCCTCTCCTGCTTCCCCCTTTCTTATCTCAGAGGCCACACACAAAATGTGCACCCATGGAAACTGGGGCCAGCATGAGAAATGGACCACCATTTGTAGAAAAATATAAGGATGAGCTTTTCATGAGAGCTTGTTAAATTCTGACAATGCATGATCTCCAAGGTTGTATCTGTGTTTATAGTGGTGCAGGAGATGAAATCAATTGTTTGACTCCATTGATTCGAATTATCTGGAGTTTTCAGATATGTTTATTTTGGTCTGAATCTGTAAAAACTCTCCAGGTATGATTTTCTGAAAAGCAAAGACAATGGAAAACTGGCATTTTTACATAAATACCATCCCATCATCCCAAGGCTCTAATTCTGGTTTGTTCAAATAAGCACACTCTGGTTTGTTCAAATAAGCACTCGCTAGAAAGAGGTTTTTCTTGAACTTGAAATCCATACCAGCCTGTTCCACTTGCATGACTATTATTGAATATGAGGAAGACAGGTTTTTATCCTCTTTGTTCCACTGAGAGCTTAAGTTAGATCCAATGCAGGCAAGTTGGTATGAAGGGCAGTACGAGAGACATGGGGTCAAATTAGTGGAATGAAATCGAGCTTTGGGAACAGACACTACGGCTTCTTCTGTATGACACATTAATGTGGTAAGAGTCTTGTAGGGAGGCGTGAGGGCACTGTGGCAAGCCATCTAGTCATACCACTTTGATCCATTAAAATATAGGCGTTAGAACAGGGAATTCAAATTTGCTTCTAGGTTGGCCATGATTTTTAAATTCTGAATTTGGCTTTTGGTATAGTTTCACTGAATGGGGGAGGTAGGATCCTTTGACTTACCCAAGATCTTATCTAAAAACCAGGAGTCTCTCTCTCCTTAATGACTTAAAATGACTTACCCAAGATCTTATCTAAAAACCAGGAGTCTCTCTCTCCCTGATTACAATTGGATTAATGTGTTTCGCTCTTCCCTGCTCGCCCTGCCCCTAATTTCAGATGTAGTGAGAGCTCCTGTTGGGAGGGGGTGGTCTAGGGCCTGTGCAACTGGGTGAAATCACAGAAGCTTATCATACGCTCCTGCACCCCATGCGTTTAAAAGACAAGCAAACAGTGACAGGGATGGAGCAGGACATGGAGAAAGGTGTCCATGGTCAGGAAGGCCACATGCTAAGGCTCACTCATCAAACAGTAGATTGCCATGGTTTGCACTTTCCCACATGTTAATATCATCTCTGCTATGGGCCAGGGCTCCTGTTAGGTTATAAGGAGAGATATCTTCATTGAAACATCAGGGGTCGGCTCTTCTTTCCTGTCTTCTTGACCTCCTTTAAAAATATTGAACAGTATTTATTCTTCTGTTCTGACTAAGGTAATCAATCTTTAAGAGAAACCTTGACCCCATTTTGCAGAAGAGATCAGGTGCATCAGTTGTTTAAAGGAAATGAGTATCAGCTTTCTGGAAGAGGTTCTCAGAATGACTTAATTGTTCAGCCTCGTCTAGTTTCCAGTTTGGCCCTCCTTGCCCTCACCAGCTCATGATTCATGACTCCTTGTGCATTGGGCCTCTTCCGAGTAGAGAGTGACATGGATCTCAGAAGGGAACAGTCAGCCCCTTCTTCATTCTTCAAAGGCATTTCTCTTTTTCCTTCATTCTATTTAAATATTGTCAACGCTTAGAAACACTACTTAGCAGTAGCTGGCTCAGAAGTGAAGCTTTTTTACATGTCAATCAATAATTCATTCTTTCAGTAAACTTAATGAATGACTGACGCCTAGTGGCCAGACTCCATGCTGGATGGGGGGAAGTGAGGCAGTAAGACGCTGTCTCCATCCTCTGGTGACTCCCAGGCCGAGGGAGACGTCGGGCCATCGTGACGGTGGGTGCTGGGGGAGAGTTTGAAGAACTGAGGAAAGGCAGCCAGCACCTGCTGGAGTGATGAGGGAAAGGCTTTCCCAGAGGAGATGGTATCACAAACGAAGTGAGGGACCGTCAGTGGTGGGTGAAGGGGCTGGACGCCAGGGGAAAGATTAGGATATCTAGGCAGAGGGAGCAGCATCTGCAAAAGTTCAGAGGTAAGACCGAGGAGCCTGGGAAGGCACTTGTAATTCTGTGTGGCAGGTGCACAGGAGGCGGGGGGGGGGGGGGCAGCGATGGGGCCAGAGAATGGCCAGCTGAGTGTGAGTCAGACTGTAGGGAGCGGGGGCAGTGTGCCGAGCTCAGGAGCTAGGGGGCTTCATGAATGAATCCAAGAAGCAGCCTGATAGGACTAGATTTGTGTTTTAGGAGCTCTTTGTGACTGCCTTGGGACAAATGGATTTCTGAAGGGCCTTAGGGGATGTCAGGAGACCTGTTAGGAGGCCACTGTGCTCAGGGCCAAGAAATGATGAAGGGCTGAGCTACATGCTAATTGAGTTGGAGAAAAGGGCAAATTCACAGGGTGACTGGCTATCAGGAGCGAGGGATAGAGAGCAGTGAAGAACGAGTCCTGGGATTCTTTCTGGCTTGGGTGAGGAGAAGCAGATTTGAAGGGAAGGAAAATCATGAGTCCAAGTTTGGAAATATGGGTTTGCAGTTCCTGAGGACCCCTCACATGGATCCCTGGGTGTCAGGACAAAGGTCTGGGCTGGGTGTAGGTTTGAGAATCATCAGTGTGAAATCTCGGGTGTGAATTAGATCATGCCACAAGTGTGGAGTAAGAAATAGGAAGAATAGTGATGAAGATCTTGGGAACATGCACGAGGTGGTGGGAAAAGCAGTAGAGATGTAAGGTAAGGGAGAGCTCTTCTACGAAAGACACGGACAGTGTCACATGTTGCAGACAGTTAAAGAAAGAGAAATATACAAAGAATGTTTAGGGGCACCTGGGCGGTTCAGTCAATTAAGCATATGACTCTTGATCTCAGCTCAGGTCTTGATCTCAGGGTCATGAGTTCAAGCCCCGTGTTGGGCTCCTTGAAAAGAAAAAAAAAAAAAAGAAGGAATGTTTATTTGGATTTTGCAACAAGGAGGTATCGTTGATTTGGGTAAGAGTAGTTTCGGTCAAGTGTTCATAGTTTGCTGGAAGCTTGGTTATGGAAGGAGGTGGATTCTTGGTTTTAAGGATTTGGAAGCATGTGTAAATGAGGTTTGCTGCCTATAGTGATTAATTTAGGATTCCATGAATTACCCATTTTCTTTGGTGTTTAAAATTTGTACCCACTTCATAGGGATTGACCCTTACAGAGCCTGGCTGGCCCTCATTTGCTTCTCTTCACTGACACTGGGCTGCAGTATTAGGCACAGGGAGTGAAAGAGGAAAGAAATCAAGAGCAGGGTGGGAAAGAGAAGAGAGGAAGACCAGATAGTTTCTCAGGTTACCTCTAGCTGCAAAATTCCAGATCAACCCAGTGTTCCTCCTTCTGTGCCCTCTATTCCACCCACTAATGGAGGTAGAGAACCTTACGCCATTGCGTTAGTCGGGGTTCCTCCAGCTTAGCTGTGCGACCCAGGACAGCTGCCTCTTCCATCCCCATCTGCTACTTGAACCCATTAGTTGTGCAAAGCTCTCTGTCCATCACTGCATCCTCATCCTGTGCACATGCCCCCATTTCCTGCTCTATGGAGGAAACTGAAGTCACTTGGCAGGAACTCTGAACCTCTCTGCAGCCCCTTACCCCTTGCGACACTCTCCTCCTCTCTATCTCAGAGAAAGAGGTGTCTCTGCTTCTCTCCAAGCTGACCCTTCCAGCCTGGCCTTCTCACATTCTAACTTACCCTTGACCTGTGGATTCCCTAACACCACTCCTCACCCTAGCAACTTCCTTAGGTTGACTCCTCTCCTCTGACAGCTTTAGCACTCTCGCTGACATGCCCTCACCCACAAGTTCTCTATCTTGAGTCTAAACCTGTCTCCTGAGTTCTCAACCTTCTGGACATTCTCATTTGGGGGTTCCATGGGGCCTTCAAATGCAACAGCTTGATGTGTCCTTCATCATCTGCATCTGTCGCGCCTGGTGTGTACCCGCCCATATTGGTTAATGGCATTATCATCCACTCAAGTCATCGGCCTGAGAGAAAAGACTTAATCTCTCACTCAAGTCATCGGCCTGAGAGAAAAGACTTAATCTCTCCTTATACCTAATAGGTCAATAGACTCTTGGTCAATAGACTCTTTTTCTCATACCCCAGAGTTTCTCTTCTGCATTCTCTGTACACCCTCCCTCCGCCCCCATTGCCCTAGTTCTTAGGTCTTGCCAGAGTCTTCTAGCCAGCCTTCCTACTGGTGGTTTCTCCATTTCCAGCCCTTCCTTCACATTGCCTCAAACCTGATTACATTTCTTGTCTGCTTAAAACCTTTCAGTGGTTCACCTTTGCTTCCAAAATAGAGTTCATCATCCTTTGTCTCAGGCGCATCCAGATCTGGTCCTGGCCCACCCTTCCGTCCTCTGCCCGGGCATCCTGTGCCCCCCGGCCGGTGCTCTTCACGCATACCCTTCCTCCTCTGCTCTGCCTGGTGAGCTTCTGCTCATCCCTCAGGATCACTTAGGCTTATGATGAAACCTGTGTCATTCATCTACAAAGAATGTATTTTTTCACATCAACCTGTCAGTTTAGAGCCACCACATTCCTCAGTTTTACTCTTTAGACACTTCCTGGATGCTCTTATGACCTGGTCATACTTCTTTTGGGATAATTTAGTTTTATTCTCAGTTCATGGACTTGCAAAATAATCAAGGATGGTCTAGCTCTTTTATTGTGCCTTTCAATCCAGTACAACTTGAATCAAAGTGCTGAATTATTCTAATGGAATGAGAAAATTGATAACCTTAATTACTGCAGGTGTAAAAAGAAGAGCAAGTAGGAAAGTATTTAGTTTGCATGTTTATAAAGAATTTACCAGAGTAAATGTGAGATCTTTTACGTCAAAAGATCCATTGACTTCTCTGTCCGTATGTATTAGTTACCGTTGCGATGTACTTTTTCCTATTTTCAGCAAAATCCATTTCTTGACTCAATATTTTGAGAGACTTATAAAAAAGAGGTACACAAAGCTTTTTTTTTTTTTAAGATTTTATTTATTTATTTGACAGAGAGAGACACAGCGAGAGAGGGAACACAAGCAGGGGGAGTGGGAGAGGGAGAAGCAGGCTTCCTGCGGAGCAGGGATCCCAATGTGGGGCTCGATCCCAGGACCCCGGGATCGTGACCCGAGCCGAAGGCAGATGCTTAACGACTGAGCCACCCAGGCTCCCCGACACAAAGCTTTCTAATAAGATTTGTAGGCATTATTTTAAAAAGGTGATAAAGAAGAGTTTTGGGTATAGTGCAGAGAGTTATGTTGAAATTGGTTGTAGGACTTTTCAGTAAAAATCAGGAATGCTTAAAAACTTTTAGAGAAATCTTCTGTTTCTTATTTTCTTTTTTATAGAGGAAAGAACAGTGGAAAGAATAGAATTATACAAAATGATCAACATTTCAGGGACTTTTTTTTTTCTTTAAAAAATTGAGGTGGCAAATAGCCATCATTTATTATAATTCCTTGTGTTTTCTCTGTAAAAATATTTTTCAATCTTTTGATTTTTTTCAAAGTGGCCATTATTGTTCTATGAACCAACACTAGGAGGAGAGACGACTGCTAGTACATCTTTTTTGCTCGTTATGGGGTAAAACTAAAATATCTTCTGTTGGCACTCCCACAGCTACATTTTTCCCAGCCTTCAGTAGGAACCCCTTTTACTTTCTGTGTACCGACACTATTAGCCAGAGAGACATTCCTGCAGTCGCGTGGGTTCAGAGCCCCTAATCAGCCGAGGCCCGAGTGTTGTAGCCGGCAGCCCACGGGAACTGAGTTGCTGCTCAGCTGGGTCTCCGTGTTCCATGGCCACACCTGGACAGGAGAGTTGGCCACAGGCACCACCCCGATGGGAAAAGTGACTCAGCTGAGTTCCTTCGGTCTTCGTATTCACTTTAGAGATCTGGAGCCCAAACTGAAATAGTTCTCCAGGCTTTCTGGAGAGCAAATCATATACATAATATTTATAATTTATATAGTTTATACCAACATGAGATAGGTATATCTACTCCCTAATCCTCTGTCAAAAAGGCAAAAGTTTTCTTTTTCAAACAACTCTTTGATATGGTAAAATCTAAAACGCATACACAAATTGTGCGAAACAAAAAGGTGCAGCTTAATTAATGAACACAGAGCATATATCTGCATACCCATTCCTCAGATCAAGAAAGAGAATGAAGCCAGCCCTGTAGTCCCTGTGCCTCCTTCCTGGTGTCCCATTGGGTACGCACGGTTCTGCCTCAAAACCTTTGGAAGTGCGTTTCTCCTGTTTTCTGTGGGGTTGCCTCAGAAGGTGCAGAAGCCGGCCTTGGGAGGTGGGGGGGGCGTGGATCTGAGGGCGGGGGCCCGGAGATGTTTGGTGGAATTGTAACATGGCATCGTTATCTGGATTTGTTCTAGTTTCTCTTACAGACCCGAAGTCTAGGCATTGGCCAGAAGCTGTTGTCATATCTGCAGAGACTGCTCTTTGTAAAGCTGCTCTGGCTCATTTCCTCTAGAGTGTGCTGACTTGTGACGCACTCACTGGAAATGGACTCTGAGGAGCTGACATACATCTGATGCCCAGTAGTAACCTGTTTCCACACAATTCCAGGACGTTAGCTTATTGCCAGTGGGTGGACAATCTCAATGAGACCCGGAAGATGCTCTCTCTTAGTGGTGGCGGTCCCTTCAGTAACCTGCTGAGGTGGGTCGTGTGCCACATAACGAAAGGAATTGTGAAGCGCGAGATGCACGGCCACGGCATTGGCCGCTTCTCAGAGGAAGAGATTTACATGCTGATGGAGAAGGACATGCGGTCCTTGGCAGGGCTTTTGGGTAACGTACCACACCTTCTATTCTCTATTTTATATCTGTACTTTTTTGCATGATTAGTAAAGCGCTGTTAGTTGACTGATTTAAAGTTTTATTTGGATTGGTTTCTTTGCTTCCACGTGTAGGTGGCAGTCCCACCATTTAACCCGACTCCCTAATTTTCAGGAGCAAATGTCTCTCTCCTTCGTCACTAGCATGAGCCAGGCTAGTGTGGCGAGGCCGGTGTGGAGAGGACACAGAGCGGGCCCCCAGCGGCTTGGAACGTGTTGTGAGCCAAGGGTGATTGTGAGCAAGGGAGCTCTTCCATTTATACACAGGCCAGGGTGACAGGGCTGCTTGTAAACACCTCTGCTGGAAGAGTCAACTGCGTGTCCGTGGCCATCAAGCCGGTTCTGACCCATTCCGCGTGCACCTGCCGCGTGTCATTTCTCATGCCTGAGTTTCCATTTGTGATCTTAGCGCTCTTCTTACGAGCGTGTTGTAGTTCTTCTGATTTTGCATTTACTGTGCACAGTGGGTTTCCCTGTGCTTGGGAAGCCCCTCCAGGAGGAGCCTGGGGCAGCATACGTGTGGGTGGGTGAGGCTGCTGAGAGTGGAGTTCGGTGTCTTCGCTCCCCTGGTTGGCTGGAGATGGCTGGGCTGATGTGCCTCTGTGCTGGGTGGAGCTCGAGTCTTACCTGTGTCAGTTCATAAACACATCATGTGAGTTCAAGAGCTTGTGTGTCGGAACTGATGGTTTCTCCTGGGGACAACTAAGGTCTAGGGAGCCAAGCCCGCTATGTGAGCAGTCACGTGACCTGGTCCTTTGGGACTGCTTATTTTGCCCGGGGAAGGTGAGTTTCCACCTAAAAGGCACCCTTACCTCCATTCTAGAGCATATTACGTTCCTCACCTCCTCCAGGAAGTGGGGTTAGGGTCTGTTTTGTTGAAACCCACGTGGGGCTCCCTCCAGGGTGACTCGTTCTGACTGGCTCCTTCCCTCTTCTGTACTCCAGATGTTTCCTGGACCTGGAGTGCCCCCCTGAACCCTGGGCTGCAGGGGAAGAGCCCAACAGCATATCCAGCTCTTGGCCAGCTTTGTTTTGGGGGGGTGGTTTGATGCTGACCAGACCTTCTGGTGCTTTGCCTTTCTAGGCCCAGAGGGGCCTGCCTGACGTAGATATGAGTGGAATTGGCCTCAAGTTTGCCTCGTTCCCGTGGAAACAGTCCTGGACTCACAGCCTCACAGAGCAGGTCTGCCGCGGGCTGTTTCCTCCTTAGTGATGGCCCTACCTGCTCACTGCTTCCTTTCTAGCCCATGCTGTCGGAGCCCCAGAAGCCAGGCACTGAGGCCTCAGAGTTAAGCCAGAGATTATGCAGTAAAGTGCTGCTCTTCTCTAGAAACTTCACAGTGTTGGTTCCTTAACCAGGGAGGGCTGATTGTCACTTTTCTGGAATGCTTCTTCTGGTTGGGAGAACCAGGGAGCAGGGGGATAGCCATTCTCTGGTACTTAATGACTTAGCAAAATGCTTCTTCCCCGATTATGGTGGGGTGGGAGGTAGAGCTATTGTCGGCAGCTAGGTTGGATATCTGGCAAGTATTCCAAACAGCATCAAGTCTAGATCATTTCCTGAGATGAGAAATTGATTCGGCTATTTGAGGGCCACCTGGGTGGCTCAGATGGTTAAGCGTCTGCCTTCGGCTCAGGTCATGATCTCAGGGTCCTGGGATCGAGCCCCGCATCGGGCTCCCTGCTCAGCGGGAAGCCTGCTTCTCCCTCTCCCACTCCCCCTGCTTGTGTTCCTGCTCTCGCTGTCTCTGTTTCTGTCACATAACTAAATAAAATCTTTTAAAAAATATTGATTTGGCTATTTGAAAAGCAGGAGTTTGCTGGAGTTCTATTCCACGTGGGAGCTCGGGGAACAGTCTAGGCTCTCATAGGAGAGGCACTTTTGCTGCCTTTGGGGAGAGAGAGGCTCCTTGGCTGAACATCAGAGGTTTTCTTACTAAATGAGGCAGAAAGCATCACCTCCCCCCTCACCTGGAGATATAGCTTACTTTTAAGGCCCAGGTGCCTGAGAGACTCAAAATGCATAATGACTTTTTGTTAAGTAGTTCAAGATTTGGGGAAATTGTCTAGGGATGTATTTGAGTCATCAGGATAAATTAATTATTGGTGTTTCAATTCAGTTGACTTCAAGGATTGAAGACCTTCTTTGGGGCAGGATCTAGGGAATACAAAAGTGAATAAGAGATGGTCCCCTCTCTCAGGTAGCTTACTATCCAGTGGGAGAGACGAACTTATAAACCAGGAATAGGTGAATTATGGCCCATAGCTGGTGGCCTGTTTTTTTTTTTTAATGGCCTATGAGCTAAGAATCATTTTTATATTATTAAAATGTAAGGAAAAAAATGCAACAGAGATCAAATATGGCCCAGAAAGCCTAAAATATTTACCATCTGAAGCTCCATAGAATTTTGCTGACCTCTGCTCTAAATGAGTACCCACGTTCAAGTTGGGCTCTGACAGGTGTCATGACAGAGGTTTGTGCTTGGTGCCCTGGAGACACAGGAGTAGGGGTGAAATGGCAGCGAGAGTTTGGGAGGGCCAGAGAAGAGGCAGCAGGTGTTTTGGCCCCAGAAAGTAAACAGTTGTCCCAAGGAAGAAAATAGGGAAGGACCATCTGGGCAAATCATGAGAAAAGGAGTCACAAGTGAGGGGCATTTTGTAATCATGGTCGAAATGAAGGTTTAAAGGTAGTTTGGGGCCATATTATAAAAGGTAACAATTACGCTGAGATATAAAACATGTAGGTGGTGCAGACTTCTAATATTAGAGAGAAAGAGGCATATTTGTGATTCAGAAAAGTGGCTGTTGCTGTCATGGCAGACGGCTTAGGCCTGAGGGGTGGGTGGTAACGAGAGACTGAAGAGAGGCGGTACATATCTTTGGATGTAGTTTAAAAAATTGTGATTAAGTTCAAATTAAAATAAAAAATTAAATTCAAACAAAAAAAATTAGTTGAGAAAGATGATATCTTTGTGTTGGAAAGGAGACAAAATTATTATTTATAGAAATTAAGAGATTATGTAGCTAAAATAGGGGCACCTGGGTGGCTCAGTCGGTTAAGCATCTGCCTTCGGTTCAGGTCATGATCCCGGGGTCCTGGGATCGAGTCCTACATCAGGCTCCCTGCTCGGCAGGAAGCCTGCTTCTCCCTCTCCCTCTGCCTGCCGCTCCCCCTGCTTGTGCTCTCTCTCTGTCAAATAAATAAATAAAATATTTAAAAAAAAAGAAATTATGTAGTTAAAATAATGGAGAATTGAAATTACAGTTAATGAGAGAGTTCAGTAATTTTACAAAGTTACAGACATCCAGATGGCCAACAGACACATGAAAAGATGCTCAACATCACTCATTATCAGGGAAATGCAAATCAAAACTACAATATATCACCTCACAGCTGTCAGAGTGGCTAAAATTAACAACACAGGAAACAACATGTTGGTGAGGATGTGGAGAAAGGGGAAACCTTTTGCACTGTTGGTGGGAATGCAAATTCGTGCAGCCATTGTGGAAATCTGTATGGAGGTTCCTCAAAAAATTAAAAATAGAACTACCCTTTTTTTTTTTTTTAAGATTTTATTTATTTGAGAGAGAGAGAGAGAATGAGCGGTGGGGACAGGCAGAAGGAGAGGGAGAGAGAGAAGTAGACTCCCTGCTGAGCAAGGAGCCTGATGTGGGGCTCACCTGAGCTGAAGGCAGACACTTAACCGACTGAGCCACTCAGGTGCCCCAAAATCGAACTTACCTATGACCCAGGAATTGTACTAGTGGTTATTTACCCAAAAAATAGAAAAACACTAACTAAAAGGGATACAGGCACCCTTATGTTTATTGCAGCATTATTTACAATAGCCAAACTATGGAAGCAGCCCAAGTGTCCACTGATGAGGATGAATGGATAAAGAAGATAAATATGTATATAATGGAATACTATTCATCCATAAAAAGAATGAAATCTTGCCATTTGCAACACCATCGATTGAGCTAGAGAGTATTATAGTAAGTGAAATAAGTCAGTCAGAGAAAGAAATACCATAGGATCTCACTCATATGTGGAATTTAAGAAACAAAACAAAGGAAACTAGAGAGAGAGACAAACCAAGAAACAGACTCTTAACTATGGGGAACAAACTCATGGTTACCAGAGGGAAGGTGGGTGGAGGGATGGAGGAAATAGGGGATGGGGATTATAGAGTACATTCATCATGATAAAATAAACTAAAATAAAATGATAAAAAGTTTACAAAGTTACAAACATGTAAATCTTGATATCTCAAATAACTGATCAGGAAATATAGTTAAAAATTTCCATTTATAATAATAATAAATCAAAATATTAGAAATATGATGTATTAGAAATATTCAGGTCCTACAGAAATAAAATTAGATAGTCCTAATAAGAGATAGTAGGTTTTTTAGAAAATGGGGAGTATACCTTCATTCATTCATTTGAGAGTGATACCTCTGGAGCCAGAGGTCAAACCTAGCTCCATCACTTCCGAGCTCTGCAACCTTGGGCAAGTTTCTTAACTTCTCTAGGCCTCAGTTTCCTTATGTGTAAAATGGGGACAATAATGGTGAAAAGAAAAGTAGCACATGTACAGTGCTCAGAGTAGTGCCTGCAGGTCGTAAGCAATCAAGCAACAAGCAAGTGTAAAACACAACTGCAGTGAGGACAGGAAGCAGAGGTCCGCGGTGCTGCGAGGGCTGATGATGCGGGGAGGGTTGCCCAGTGGTCAGTGTTAGTCTCCATTCAGTTCTGCATGTTCCCGTGTCCCCATGGGGCAGGTGTGTGCGTTGGAAGCAGAGATACGACCTGTAGTGGATGCCTGACTTTCACGTGTGCAAGAAGTGCGAATGCTGTCTATTTCTATCCCCTCCCCAAAGGGTGAGAATCAGAAAAGCATGGAAGACATAAAAATCAAGAAGAGAAAGGTTAGGTTTTTGGGAGGCAGT